GACCTCTTGGCCCGTCTTGGGGCCGTCGTGGGCGTCTTGGAGCGGTCGTTTGGCGTCTCGGAGCCTTCGTGGGCCGTCTTGGAGGCCTCTTGGGGGCTTCTTGGCCCGTCTTGAGGCCCTCTTGGGCCCGGAAAAGCCCTGGAACCGCTCGTCCCGGCCGTGCTGCGCTCGTCCCGGCCCCCTCCCCCCCTCCAAATCGGCCCTCTTGGGCCGTCTTGGGGACCTCTTGGGCCGTCTTGGGGCCGTCTTGGGCCGTCTGGAGGCCGTCTTGGGGGCCTCTTGGGCCATCTTGGGGCTATCTTTGGGGCCTCTTTGGCCGTCTTGGAGCGTCGGGAAGCCGGAAAGGCGGGAAAGCAAGAAACGTCGAAAAACACTCGGGAAAATCAACAATTTTAGACTCTTTGGGCCCTCTTGGGAGGCTTGTTTGGGACCTCGGAGGCCGTCTTGGAGACCTCTTGGCCCGTCTTGGGGCCATCGTGGGCGTCTTGGACCGGTCGTTTGGCGTCTCGGAGCCTTCGTGGGCCGTCTTGGAGGCCTCTTGGGGGCTTCTTGGCCCGTCTTGAGGCCCTCTTGGGCCCGGAAAAGCCCCGTGAGTCGCTCGTCCCGGACCCCCCCCGCTCGCGCCGGACCCCCCCCCCCCCCTCCAAATCGACCGGACCGGGCTCCCGGGGGAGGGGTTTGGGGAGGGGGAAGCATCTCACACGCCGATGATCCCCAAGGGGTCGGCGGAATTTCAAGCGGTCGCTCCTTGAGCCATGCCTGTGGCTGCAGCGTTTCGACGGCGGCCGACTTCAGCCCGGGGCCCCTGATTTTGATCGAGGTCGATGACCTCATCGTGGCCAGCGATCCTAAGGTGCTCCCAGATTTGAAGAAGCGTCTCACGGAGAGATTTAAATTCTAGACGCTTCGCGTATCCCCACCAGCCCGTCCAGAAACGACGCCCAGGCGAGTAGAGGGTCGTCCTGAGGGGCTTTTCGGCGTCTTGGGTGCCTCGGGGGGGCCTCTGTTTGCCGTTCGGGATCCTCTTTGGGGCCTCCTGGGGGCCTCTTGTGGCCTCTTGGGGCCATCTTGGGGCCTTTGGGGGCCTCCTGGGCGCTTCTTGGGACCGTTTTTGCCCCTTGGGTGCCTCTGGGGGGTCTCTTGGGGCCTCTTGGGGGTCTCTTGGGGGCCTCCTGGGGGCCTCTTGGGGGGCCTCTTGGGGCCGTCTTGGGGCCATCCTGCGGCCTCTTGGGGCATCGTGGGGGCGTTTTGCGGCCATCGTGGAGGAAATCGATCGAAGAAGAGGGGAGCTCTAATTAGCGCTGCCCCCATCAGAAGGCCAAAATGGGGCCAAAACCATAGTAAAATCAATGATTTGGGCTTCCTCGCCGAGGCCGTTTTGGACGCTCTGACCGCTCCCCGCCCCTCCTGTCCAGGTCAGTGGGGAGGGGGTAGGGGGAGGGGCAAGACCCTCCCCGAAGGGGAAGAGGGAGGGGTGGAAGAGGAAACGCCCTAAACCACCGACGCCCAGAGGGCTGGTGGGATTGTAAAGATGTGGAAAAAGGAGAAAGAGGGGGAGGGGGATAACGGAGGAGGACTAATAGGTAGGCGAGGGGGAAGGGGATCCTGGACAGCTCATATGGCCACTTGGAGTCGTCCTGGGACGGTCTTGGAGCGTCTTGGAACATCTTCGGAACCATCTTGAGGCAGGTTGCGATATCTTGAGCCAGCCTGTTGGAATCGTTGTGGAACAGTCTTGGAACGTCTTGAAACATCGTCGGAGCCATCTTGAGACAGGTCGCGCAATCGTCAGCCATCTTGGAAGGTGTCTTGGGCTTCCCGAGGCTCTCAGGGAGCCGTTTTGGCCCATCTTTGACGACCTTGTGAGCCTCTTGGGGGCCTCTTGGGCGTCGTTTGGGGCGCTCTTGAAGCGCTCTTGGAGGCCTCAGAGGCGCTGGTAGAGCCATGTTGGAAGGGATCTGGCAAAGCGGAAGCATTTTTTAGCGTCGCCCTTTGTAGAGCCTTTAAAATCGCCTCCTGAACCCCTTTTGGGGTGTTCTTGGAGCGTTCGTTGCCGCTCTTGGTGCCGTCTTGGGGCTTTCTTGGCCTTTTTGGAGCTATCTTGAGCCATCTTAGAGCCATTTTGACGCCTCGGATGTGCATCGCAAGCGAAAAAGTGTAAACACCAAAAACATTGATTTTCCCTAGGGTTTTGAAGCATTTTGGCCTGTTGGAGGCATCCTAGTGATGCTCTTATGAGTACTTGAAACCGTTTTGGGAAGCTCTTGGAGCGTCTTGGAACATCATGGGGACCATCTTGAGGCATCTTGCGCTATCTTGAGCCATCTTGGAGGTCATCTTGAGCTCCCTGAGGCCCTCTTGGAGCCGTGTTGGGCCATCTTGGACGCTCTAACTACCCGCGGCCCCCCCTGTCCAGGTCAGTGGGGAGGGGGGAGGGGGAGGGGTAAACCCCTCCCCGAAGGGGAAGAAGGAGGGGATGGAAGAGGAAACGCTCTAAACCACCGACGCCCAGAGGGCTGGTGGGATTCGGTAAGTGGGAGGAAGGCAAGGCTGATTACGCAGGCAGGCAGGTGCGTCAGGTGGCGGGGGGAAAGATCTTGGTCGAGCAAGAGAAGTACGTTCGCGAGCAGTTGTGTCCAATAGCTCTGGACAAGCAGCGCCGAGCTCAGACCTCTTCCCCTCTCCTCCCCTCGGAGATTTCGCCCTACCGGACAACGGTCGCTCAAATACAATGGCTTGGGAGGGAATCGAGACCGGATGTGGCGGGCAGTGCGTCCTTGTTAGCTTCGGCCCTCCCCGAACCAAAGGTGGAAGATGCACAGATGGCCAATGAGGTAGTGAAGTTCCTCAGAGAGTTGGCTTTTCAGTATCTCACGATATGGCCCTTCGATCCGGTCTCGACTACCGTTGTGACTGCCTCCGATGCGGGAGGCCCAGGGTCTGCTCGGCGCGGAGGCGCCCAGGGCGGATGACTGATTTTTGCTGCAGACAGCTCGGTCAGTGAGAATCGACGAGCCAAAGCGAGTCTTTTGTCATGGTGCCCCCAGCGTCTGAAGCGGGCGGTCGCCAGCGCGATCGCGGCCGGGACCCTGTCTCTGTCGAGTGCGGCTGCTGAGGCCCAGTGGCTCCAGATCGTGTGGCGAGACGCGCTGTATGGCGACGTGAAGTCGCCCGATTGGACGGAGTCTCAGGGTCCTTTTTCTGTCGTGCCCCCTCGCGAGTGCGAGCTCGCCGATGCATCGGCCTTGAGCATCGTCGACGCCAAGAGAATTCGACACTCTCTCGAGAAATACTGCAGGGTCCCGGGCCGACCTGAGGAACGCGATTGAACTGGCTGTGATCAGGGGCGCGTTGAGTTGTTTGGGGTCTCAAGTGCGCTGGCTTCCACGCGGGTTGATGCCGGCACATCCCCTCACGAAGATCGATCCCGCACGGGGAAACGCCGCTTTGCATGACGTGCTCACTCGCGGTACGCTGTGTTGAGTAGATCAGTCTGGACACCGCGATGAAAGATCATTCAATGCGGCTCTCAAGAGCCGCTCCCGGTGGGCCTCGCGGAGAATGTTGAGAGAGAGAGAGAGAGAGAGAGAGAGAGAGAGAGAGAGAGAGAGAGAGAGAGAGAGAGAGAGAGAGAGAGAGAGAGAGAGAGAGAGAGAGAGAGAGAGAGAGCCAAGGCGTTCGACCCCGAGCACACCGAGGTGAAGGACGAGGAGGAGGAATAATAGAAGGAGGAGGAGGAACAGAGAGGAGGACGAGAATAAGAGGAGGAGGAGGCAGGGGAAGCCCCAGCCTACTTAATCCTGGACGGCGACGGGTTCAGGTCCACGAAAGTTTGGCCCGCTGTTCCTGGATACCCCCAAAGCCCCTTCTGTGTTTCCCCCCGTTTGTCCCTTCTCCCTAGCCGTGTTGGCTTAGGCGCCTGAGTGAGTTCGAACTGTTCATCCGCCCGAGGAGAAAGGGGCCCCTCCTCACCCAACTACGACCCCCACGATCCCATATGTATCAGTAGCCTGAGACAAAAGGACGTTGTTTGTGCATGATTGCGCCGGTGAACACAGCGCGTACAGCACAGCAAGCACAATGATCATTGTTAGGGTACGTTTGAGCGCAAAGTAGAAGAGACTAGCTCGATCCATTTCGACGGACCATTCGTCGCTGCAGTCTGCCATGCTTGCATGTATGGGTGATATCCAATTACCAGTTTGACAGATTCCGAAGTTTCGTTCGGTGCGGTCGATGGTTATCCTTTGTGTCAGCATGAGCCAGGATAGCGCTGTACGAGGGAGGGGGAAGATGCGGCTGGTTCGTTGTTTCCATTCAGAAGTATTCGCCTCCTCCCCGACAGCCATACGCATCCACTCTTATCCTTGAAGTCTTGCGAATATTATTCGAAGGCGTTGAAGCGAAGAGGATGTTGGTTGGGGATGTTGACCGAGCGACCAGACTTCCTAGAAACGACTTCTGTCTTACCATACGTGCAATTGCAAGGCGTTCTGGGCAATGCTTATCGTACATTGCGAGCGCCTTAGACCGGCACGATTGCGATTCATTCATTCGGCCCACAGTGAGCACCTCTTTTTTGGTATGCGATTTCGGTTGGCTCGTCCAGGCCCATGAATTCCCCAGGCGATTCTGTCGTCATGATTGCTCTCGGCCCAACTGACACTTGCGGCGGTTGGATGTTTCGAGAGATGGGCCTCAGGACTTGTCGACCCCTGCCCCAGGGCTAGTTTTTCTTCAGTCTTTGTCGAACTTTCAGCGGGTCTTCCCTCTCCGGACCTCCAACTTGGAGGTTGGGGGTCTCTTGAGATCTCTGTGGGTCTCCAAAGGTTCCCAGAGTCCCCCAGACGCTCCAGAAGCCCCCAATCGACAAAACGCATACAAACACATCCAACAATTTCCAACATCGACCTCCCATTCTCGATCTTTCCTCCTCTCTCCTGGGAAGCTGTTTCGGCCAGCAGGGAGGAAGAAGCAGAAGGAGGCGAGGCAGCCATCAGGCCAGTCTGTCCCACTTGGTCTTGGGCTTCACCCTGCACCCGGGCAAGCCCTGCGGCGAGGCCAGGGTTTCACTGATCGGCCGGATGGCCTTGGAGCCCGGGTGGGGCCCGCCGTGGGGGGAACGAGCAGCTGGAGCAGGAGCAAGACGGCCACGCACGGAGACGACGACGACCACGACCACTACAACGAACACGACGACGACAACGAGGCCCCCCCCGTAGCGTCTCGTGGATCTGTCACCTCGAAAAGAACAGAGAAACGCTTTGGTTCCTTTTCAGAGCGCGAAGTTGATGCATTGACAAGGGAATCTGGCCTCCAGAGCGCGAACCTGGTGCAATTTACCAAGGACTCTGGCTGTGGGAGCGCGAATCTGGCCTACGTTACAAAGGATTCTTGCCCCTAGAGCGCGAATCTGGCGTACGTTAAATGGGATTCTGACCTCGGGAGCGCGAATTCGTTTTTATTTGCAAGGGGTTCAGATTCCGGGAGCGCGAATCTCGTGTCATTTATCAGGGCTCTGGCTTCAGGAGCACGAGCTTGGTGTAAGTTACGAAGGATTCTGGTATCGCGAGCGCGAATTCGGCGCAATTCAGTATGATTGAGTCTGACTTGGATGTGATTTATTCGGGATTCGGATTTCGGGAGGACGAGTGTAGCGTAATGTTAGTAGGGTTCTGGCCGGGAGCGTGAACTTGGTGCCAAAGTCCGCGCGGGTTTCTTGGGTCGGCACTGGACTCCCGTGGCGGCGCCTTTTTCGTGCCCCCATGGCCTCGAGAGGTCCAGCGCCGACTCAAGGAATCCGCATTGACCTCGGACAGCTTGATATTTCATCATTCCCGTTCGAGCTAGGTGACAATAATAATGTCTTTCGAGTTGACAGACCAAAACGGAATTAAAATAAGATTTGCCCCCAAATGAAATCAGAGCGCCGCATCCCAAAACTAGATGTGCCGAAGCTCGCATAATCACTATCCGTGGCATCCCTGAACCAAAGCCGTCGAAGATGTCAGAATGGCGGCTTGAGGCTGAAGATGGAAAACACGGTCTTGGTGTCTGGGGTCCGGCATTTGCTGTGTAGTGAGCATCTTCGTCGTCGTCGGCATTGGTGTCGGTCGGCGTCGACGTGCACGTCAACGCCGTCTTTGTCGCCGTCAGGAGTTGGAACAAGCAGGAGCGCGGTAGAACATACAGGAGCACGGCAGTGCACATAGGAGCACGGCAGAACACATAGGTGCACGGCAACATTGACGGCAGAACACGCAGGAGCACGGCAGAACACATAGGAGAACATCCGTAGCCATTTTGGCTCAAGCTTGGCTCGGGCGCGCGTGCGGCGGGCGCTTGGGCACGATGGCGCGGGCGGGGACGCTGGACAGTGTTCCTGGTGCTGCACGCGCTTGCCTCGGCGAGCCGCGGCGGACGCGCGCGGGGCGTTCTGCGGCTCGGAGGCGGGCGCTCCAGGCAGCGGACAAAGGAGTGAAGGCGGCGCTCGCGGATGCAGCGGCCCTGCGCAGCGAGCTGGAGGCCGTTCGGCGGTGCTTCGCGTCCTACGTGGGCGACGCCGAGCTGGCCGACCGCCTGGAGGCGATCGTGCCCGCGCTGACGGCCTTGCTGCGGGGAGTGGCCCCCGAACAGGAGGATGCAGTGCGGAGGAATGTGGCTCTCCACGCCGACGCCCCTGGGGTCAGGGTCGCGTCGGCGTGTGGCCTCACCCTGCGGCGGCTCCAGCGGTCCGCCAGGCTGGAGGCGAGGCGAGAGCGCAAGATCGAGTGCCACGTGGAGATTTGCGAGGCGGAGGCGGTGCCGCAGCTTGGCCGACTTGTTGCCCTGCGCACGGCGTTGCGGTCGGCTGCGAGGCCCTTCGCCCCAGCTGCGGTTGACCCCGTCGTTGCCGGCGGCGGCGGTACCCAGGCGGTGCAGGCCCGGATCGACGTCGATGAGTGCGACGAGGCGCATCAGCAGCTTAACGTGGAGTTCGAGCTGGCTGGGCGCGCCCGTGTTGGGCGTGGCGCCCTCATCGGCGATTGCTACGTGCCTTCCCCTCTCTTCCCTGGGGTGTCGGAGGTTGACTGCGACTTGGACTTCGTGCAGGCCGCGGGCGCTCTGGCGGCGCCGCCGCGCGCTGCTGGCGAGTGCTCCGACTTCGACGGCGTGATCTTCGACGGCGAGGCCGACGTGGCCACCTCTTGCTCGGTTGGGGAGCAGCCAGCTGCCGAACCTGCTGGACGCGTTGCTGCCGCCGCCGCCGCGTACCTCGACGCCTTCCCGCAGGCCCTCTTCCGCGGGGGCGGCGGCGCCAGGGCTCGCGGCGAGGTCGCGGCTCATTGGTGGCGTGCGAGGGCGGCCGTCGCCCGCGCTTGGCTCGCAGCTGCAGGATTACGAGGAGCACGGCAGAACACAAAGAGTACACAGGAGCACGGCAGAACAGCATGACAGAACACACGGGAGCGTGACAGGTCACACAAAACACGGGAGCACGGCAGAACAAGCAACAGCACGGCAGAACACAGGAGCACGGCATAACACATGGGAGCACGGCAGAACACATAGGAGCACGGCAGAGCAGGACCATGGCATAAAACACAGGAGCACGGCAGAACACACAAAAGCACGGCAGAACACGCAGGAGCACGGCAGAACACCTAGAACATCATCCGTAGCCATTTTGGCTCAAGCCATGCTGGCTCTAGGCTCCGCGCGGGGCCCCCTGAGCTCGGCATGGTGGCTGCAGGCTGCGGGAGAGCCCCTCCGCGGGGTAGCCGGTGCGCGCGCGTCCGCCGACCGGCTCATTTTCAAGCTGAAGAGCAGGTTGGTGGCCGCTGACCGCACGGCCCTCGCCTTCGAGCCTGCGCTGCTGCACCTCTTCGGCGACGCGGAGGTGGCGGAGAGGGTCGCCTGTATTCTTCCTGCCCTCGCGCCCCTCCTCGCGGGCGAGCGGCCCGGGGCGCTGGACATCCTTCGGCGCAACGTGGCGCTCCACTCCGAGGGGCCCTGCGGCATGTCTCTGGTCTCAGCTGGCCGTGCCGAGCTGCGCAGGGCCCAGAAGCACGCGCATAGGCTCGAGGCGAGGAGGGCGAACACCCAGCCCGCGGCCCACGTGCTGTTGCAGGGCCCCCCGCCCCTCGAGGCCGAGAGCGGGCTCCGTCGTGACGCGCCCCCTTTTCGTCCCGAGCTCGGGCTGCTGGGCGCCGCTGGACGGCTGCGGCCGCCTCTGCACGCGCGGCGCGACGCGCTACTCGTCGCGCTCCCCGCCGCCGCTCTCTGTTGAGGAGGTGTTCGAGGATCACGGCGACGAGGGCTCTCCGTGTGGCGAGGCGGCTGCTGCTGAGTTTCCGACCAGGGGCGCCCCCCCCGCCCTGGTCGACGGCTCTGAGGGGGCGAGCGGGGCCGCGGGCCCGCCGCAGGGCGCCGTGCCAGTTTCGCAGCCTGGCAGTGCGGCATCTCGTCGTGCCCCTGGCTGGCGGCCGGCACGCGCGGCAGTCGCCAGAGTCTGGCTGGGGCCATCGCTGGGCGAGGGCGCCGTCCCCGAGGCTGCGGGCGGCGCGCTGCGGGCGCGGAGAGTCCGCTTTGCAGATGCCCCGCGCGCGTTCGAGATTGAGGGCTGTTCGGGCATGCGTGGTATTCTTCGGCGGGGTAGCGCGCCGAGGTTTCTGGGCCCCGCCTGGACGCGCCACGCAAAGGCCGTTGACCTCATGCACGTGATCGAGGGCGGCCCCTTCGGCCTCAGGATTCCCCCCACACGGGGGCCGCTGCGTCATAGGGCGAGGTTCGCGGTCGGGCCTCGTCTGGTTGAAGCCCTTCCGCCTGGGATGTCTGTTGAGCGTGCTGGGGAGATCGATCGCCTTATCAGATTGTGCGGAGGACTGTGAGTGAGTGAGTGGATTAGTGCAGTTGCGAGTCGAATGGGGGATATTGTGTCGTATCTATCCTTTTCGGTCCTGCACTTGGCGTGGTCTTGTGTAGTATATGCTCTTGTCAGTGCTGCACTTGACGGTTGTCTTGTGTAGTATATACCAGAGGCTTCGCCTTCTGTCTGTGCTGCGCGCGTCAGGGAGGGGGCCCGAGGCGGCCTCCTCTGTTTGCGTTCTGGCCACCACTTGCCTCGAAGGCCCCGTCTTTAACTTTAACTTTAACACATAGAACATCTATTCACACAGCCGCACCCACAAGCACAGGCACATAGGCACATGCACACAGGCACACACACACACACACACACACGCACACAGACACATACGCACACGCACACACGGAGAGGCAAGATACGTCCACGCAGACCGCAGGGGCACGGCAGAGCAGCACGGTATAACACAGCAGTGCCGCAGACCACCACGCACGGACACACACGCAGCTCACGCGCACATCTTCCACGCGCGCACGCGCATGCGCAAACGCGCGCACGCCGCGACAGATCTGCTTGGCAGACGAACAAAAGAGCATACTTCACATACCTAGTGGACCAAAGCGACGCCTCCCGTTTTTGTCCGGTCAGGTTACCCAGGCTATTTCGCCTGAGACGTCTTCACAACATGGAGACCTCGGAGGATCTATTTTGGGGCGCCCATTGTCAAAGTTGAAGCTCTCGCTGCAGACATCCTCGAACAATGGAGATTTAGAAATCACTCGCGAAATTCGCCGCTCCAAAAATGGGCAGTCCGCCTGTGACATCCTCGAAACAAATAGACGCCGAAAGAGCTGTGGGTAGACCTCTTATGTTGAAAATGTAGCTCTCGCCCGAGACATCCTCGAACAACGGAGATGTCCATGGAGCGTGCGAATTCGTCGTATTCTCAAAAATGAGGCTCCCGCTTGAGACATTCTCCAAAAAATGCAATGTGCAATAAGCTGCCTCACGACATATATTGGAGGCATTATTCGGAGGACCCCCAAGACCCAAGACGGAGCACCTTAAAAACAATGGTTGTTTCAACCGCTTCGCTCAAAGTGATGCGTTCCGCTCGATTGATCATCAAAATTTGCATCGCCGTCGTCGTCGTTGTTGTTGTTGTCGACGTCGTTGCCATTATCATCGTCATCCTCAGTGTCATCGTCCTCTTCCTCGTCATTGTCGTCGTCGTCGCTGTCATCGTCA